GACTAATAATGGGGCTCAAAGAGGCTAATATAAAGAGACACACACTGGATGAAGCACTGCTAGGCTTCTTGACAGCATCAGGGTCCACTTATGCAAATAGACATTTTTTGTTTAAAGATAGGGGAACATAATGATAATCTGCCATTAAACCTCTCATTTTTGTTAACAGAAAAGGGAATAGGCACTGATAGCTGGGCCACAAGAATAAATTGGTGACTGTCTTTATATGACTTTAAACTGAGGAAAGTAAGCATTTGGAAAAAAAAGTCATGCAGCAACGTTCTCAGATCTGTTAAATCTGTTTTCTGTAACAGTAGATACTTTCTGTTTCATCAATTTGTGAGAGGGGGAAAAAAATTACCATTTTATTTTCTGGTTTATCTTTTCAGAATCACAAAGTATGTGTTTCCATGACATCACCTAATTACTCTGGTTATGAGGGTTGAGAAATAAAGATGTTTCCTCATGTTCCCATGCCGGCATGAAATGGCTGTCCCCTTTCATTTTCCTATATCTCATGTTTATGCCGCAGAGAAGGCTCGCTGCAGATTGCCAGGAATTGAGGTGAAAAGGGTTGTGCTTATGATGAAATGTGTTTTTGTAGGGGTCTGTGAATGTGTGTTTTATCACATATCTGGACTTTGCAGTTTTCTTAAACCGCATCTGTTTGGTCATTTAGAAATTTAGGCTTTGGATGAAGTTAAGGGACTTCCAACTTGGACACGCTGAAAGCTTCTTCTTTTTTTCACCGCAGCTTTTTATTGCAATTCAAATGACAATTATGCTGGCGGTCCCTCTTAGACCCCTTATCTTTGAATGCAAAGCCAGAAAAAACAATTGGATTCTGCAAAAATTGATTCAGCAGGAGGAGGATGAGCACCCTTCATGAATACAAAACCTCGCCTTTTTTGATGACCTGCTTGACACAGAATGGTGCACAATTACCAGGCATACATTCCTTTCTGTATTTGCACTATGAGACCTGAAATGGTTTGTCAGCTTGGAGAGAATTTTAAAATGTAGATTGCCTTAGCTGGCGAGGACTCACCTCCACTGAACGCAGAATGTATTATCTGTGGAGTGCAAAGAGCTCGAGTCGGGGACTTTTGTTACAGAAAGTGAGTATTAAAAGGAGTGAGTGGATGTATGGGTGGGTTCATAGTTGAGATCATTGAAAGATAAGGAAAAGCAAGCAAAGATTCAAATAGGAGTTAAAAGGAGATAAGGCTCACAGGTATTATATGGGCTCTAAATCTGGTGGAAACCCCAGATAGGTTGTTTTAATTGCAATCACAAAATTAAATTGTCTGATTAATATGCGAATAGCATCTATAGCTAAGCTGATAGTGTAATTATCTTCTAAAATTTCAAATTGATGCTGTTTAAAGTGACCAAGTTGCAAAATCTAATTGAGAAAAACTCAATTGAGAGATTATTAACAAAAATTATTTACAATCTAGTTTTACATTTCTTTTAAAAATACAATCAGTAATTAGCGGACTGCATTAGTATCCAGACCATTTAAATGTAAAACACTTAAAAAAAAAATTCAAGCTCTGGCCTTTAACTAGGCCATTCTAGCACAATAATATAGTTTGATCTGAAACATTGCGTTGCAGCTTTGAAAGCTTTATTAGGGTCAACATGCTGCTGGAAGGAAAGGCTCTGCCCCTGTCTCAAGTGTTTTTCGTCCTCTAACTTTCCTCAGGAATGTCAGTGAGTTTAGCTCTGACCAGCTTCGCTTCCCTCACTAAGAAAAGAATATTTCAAGGCTCAACCATATTTCAAGGTGGTGGTTTGGGGGGGCGGGGACGCAAGAGTTTTACATAAAGAAAAAAAAACGTTGAGAAAACAACTCTTTTATATGTTTCCCATAATTCCCTAATCTGCTTATGGTACATAGAACTTCCTTTGTAAACATATTTTTTCCTTTCCAGCCTTCCATAAGGGGCAGATTTCTATTTTGCATATTACAAGACCTTCAGTGATCACGTCAAAAGATATAGGCTAGCAAACTCTGCAGCTCTACTAGAGGCAACTTGTTGCTTCTATGTTTAATGCTCTATAAACTTTAGCTGGACATTGTTAATTTGAGGGATTTGAAGTAGTGCTATAATGTCTTAAGTTCAGTATCATGTGTTTTATGAGATGCTTGTAGATTAAGACATTGTTTCACATCTAAACTTGCTAAAAATTTTATCTCCTTTATGTTCCTTGGGTTTCGTGATGCTGTTTGTTCACTAACGCTCTCTAACAATATCTAAGGCAAATGTGAATTATCTCGAGGGAGATGATTTTTGCAAATCTGTTTATATAGGTTTTCTTATTTCTATAAATTTTTTTAATATTGCATTTACATAATATGGGTGCTGTACCTTTCACCATTTGCACAATTTCTTCTTTAAGCCTCCTTTACATCTTTTTGTGAGTCAGTCCAACAGATTGTGCAAAGCTGCATTTTCAGTATTTACTGTTATACCTTTAAAAGTTAGGTTGCAGAACAGGCCTTAACTAGAGTGCCATGTGAAGCAGAAGTAGGCTTGAAAACACCCTATGGGCAAAGTAGTGCACTTGACTGAGCAAGCAGCTCCCTGTCAAGATTATTTATTCAATGTTACATAAAATTAGGTTGATCCAATTATATCTAAAAGCTGAAACCTTTTAATTAATATGAGAAAAACACCCAGAACTTTACTTTTGGTCTGTCTTATAGGCAAGGAAGGATTTGATCTACCTGTAAATGAGGCAGCAGGACAATTACCTCTAATGTATGTCATTACTCGAAGGTGTCAGAGAAAACCTGTTGGACAAAAATACACCTTGAGTTAATGAAATCACTGTGCAAACAACATGTTAGATGTTGCTCAACCACCACTATTCCAGCATGGCTGGTGCACTTCAGTGATAGACTCTGACTCAGGGGAAAACATCACACCCTGAATGTGTTGAAGTTCAATAATTGCTTGCTTATTTGTGAACAATGCAATGAAGTGTAAAAGGTTATCTTTGACACTTGGCACACCCTTTCTAATGCATAAGGTGGGGAAGATAATGAACCATTATGGTAATACTTACACCAGTTACTAATTGTTCCAGCAAACAGATTTATATTGTAAATATAAGAATCCAGATTTAAGTAGGTAGACCAGCTGACAGAGATGTCATCTGAGATCCCTTTTATAGGTAGAATTTATTGCATGTTATTTCTGGCTATAGTCTATTTTGTCTCGGCGTTTGTTTGGCTTTTCTAATAAATAATTATGCTTTGCTTTATGTGCAGTGTAACTGTCCTGTAGAAAGTGAGCCTCTGTATTTGCCTCTAGTGCTTTGCAACCCGTGCCAGGTTATGTTCTGTATTTAGCTCCACTGTACTCAGGCCATCTTTCGTATCCCTGTTTAAGAAAAGCATTATCTGCACTATGATGATGCCTCCCCCATGTTTCATTATGAGAATGCTGTTTGTGTTTGTCATAAAGCAATACTGTTGCCATTTTGAAGTTATGAAAACAACTGCGCTTTATGTAATCCTCAAAGTTTAGCACAACGCTTTAATTGTCTCCAGAACCTAACCTGACTATTGTGTTTTTTGGTCTTAATGATGGAGTCATGTCTGATAGTTATTTAATACATATATATTATCAAGTGTTATTTAAAGTGTTTGTTTTGCTTAAAGATGTTAACACTGAGCTTTTTTTTTTATAGTCCTCACTAATCTTCCTAAAGAACAAACTTCTGAGGCCACAAAACAGCTGTATTCATAGAGAGATGACCAACCTTGGGTGATAGACAACAGCAGTTGTTTGACTAAATTATAAAAATGAGGGGGAGGTAAATTCAAATGAAAGGGACAATTTTCATTTATTTTTATAATCTACTTCACAATCATGGATTTCTTTATTCTGGTCTGTCACAAAAGATCCCAACTATAAAATGAAAATTTTAGTTTAAGCCTAGCCCTCATGTGTAAAAGTTTAAATGGTCCCAGTAGTAAAAAGCAATACCTTTGACATTTATTTTGAAATGAGATAACTTTAACCTTGCTATTTAAAAAGCTAAATTATTTGCCTTAATAGATAGATCATACATTTACAATGGGTATATATGTCTTTAGTTTTTTAACGTAGCTTCAGATCTTAACTTAGGGATCAGAACTGTCATTACATCTGTAGGAGCCAAGTTTTTTTTTTTTTTTTTACATAATCCAGCTAAGTTTATTTTACTTGATTTTTTTATATTTTTTATATTTGTTATGAGATTTTTTTGTTTGTCCTGCATGTATCTGGGTGGGCCTATGGTTTTTGTATGGTGGGCGCAAGAGACACATGGAGGAAATGTTTGTCTTTTTCTGTTTGCTTGTCTGAGGAAAAAATAAACTGAGAAAACTAAAGGAGTTTACCTGGAACATTTTTTCTTTTGCCTGCGTAAAATTAGTCCAAGGTGCATCTGTAGCTTTTGTGGATTTCCTCTTTTTTGTGTCATGCATGATCAGCATGATCATCATCACCATCATGTAGAACACTTTAAAACAGCTACAGCTAAAATCAATGTGTTATAGCTAAAAATAATATATCACAATGAAATAATAAAATACAGCATGAAAATATGAAATAAGACCATCATTTGTTCAAGCAAATAAAAATGGTCACAATAACTAAATCATGCCAGCATTAAAAGAAAGCGAATAAATATACGTTTTGAGTCATATTTTAAAGTTTGGCAGTGAAGGAGCCTCCTTAATGATCATTTATAACAAAATTGAACATCTTAAGAAGATTCAAAACTGAAGATTTAGATAATAATAACAACTGATACCCTAATTATTTAACAGAAGTAGTGTATTTGCCCAGATTTCCGCTTCTAATTTTGCCTTAAAGGCTTTGAGCGGCCGATTTGACGGACAGCCTTCTGATTGGTCCGCTGTCCCTCAGAGGGCGTGTCCTTCTTCTGTGGGTGTTTCACAAAACCAGTCTCCGCGGAACTCATACTCTCATTCACTACGGGTTTGTTAGGTTGGCTTGATTATCCAGAGTTCTTGCCCACTTTTTTGCAACTCTTTCTGATTTAAAGGAAGCGATTCGATTTTTTTTTAGCGTGCAACCTCCATTGAATGTGGATGTGCACTTTATTCTCATTTTAGCGTTTTTCTATTTCTTTATTATTTGTAGCTTTTGCACAATCAGTTGAGCTCCTTGTGTCTTTGCGCGCCTCCGGTTCTTCGCTCCAGCATGGATTTAATTTGGATTGGGGGCTTCATTGTGAGTTTCTGCGCCTGGTTTGTCTCAGCGGAGCGACACAGCGTCTACTGGAACAGCTCCAACCCAAAGTAAATATCTGCTTTCATTTACACCTTGGATGCATGCTAAAAAACAAAAC